ATTCCTATCTTCATTAAAAGGCATAAGATGACAAAAACAAGATCTTTAAGAATCTATCTACATAATACTAAAACTCTGAATCTGTTTGTTTGTTTGCTTATCTTTTCAGTCAAAAAATCATTCACACTACCGTTTGCGCTCTTTACGAAACCTCTTACTTCACTTTTTGAAAAATGAAATGGTCTTACCTTTTACTCCCGATCAACAATCAAATATCCTTTCTTGAATTATGAATAACACGAATGAATTGAAATATTTAATTAAATTATCTCAAAATAAACCTTCATTTCGGTGCAATAGTGAAATTAGCCTGAATTCTTCATAACTTCTGAAATTATTTGAAATTTGATATTTTAAAGTAAGTTTCCTTAAAATCGGGCCACGGGTTACCGAGTTAGCACAGTTTTTCGGGTCACTTTTATAAAAATTTCTAGCATGAGTAATTTTACATCACACTACTGTTCGCACTCTTTACGAAACTTCTTCGTTCAAATCTATTTCCCTGTCAATGTTCCCATTGTTACATATCTGCTTGTTTTTTAATTTCCGGTAGAATTTCTTTCCGAGGAACTTCAGCCCTTTCTTGATTAAACCAGTTTATTCTTTCTCGATACACACTTTCAGTACACAGTAATTTCACAATCACTACGTTTATCGTGACTTTAAACTTAACAACTTTTATAATACACGGTATAAACAACTGCAATTCACAATCTCGATAACTTCGCCCAAAACTGACGTGACTACTGTTCGCTTTATCATACTGCTACGTATCTGCTCGTTTATTAATTTCCGGTATAAATTAGTTCCGAGAAACTTCAGCGATACAAATTCTTTGTTAATTAAAACTAATTTATTCTTTCTCGATACAACTTTGTAATACACAGAATTTCCACAGTCAATACGTTTGCAATCTCGATAACAAAACACACACACACTTTATACTACCGTCACTACCGCTCACTTGACTCAATTATCTGTCTATCTATCTGTATATCTTCTCTCTTCTTTTATTTGCCAGGTTTATGTACTAAAAAAGAGGGCGTCCCGAACAAACTAGGAAATTCACGCACACGCCATCAGTGTCACGTTACTTCCGCTGTCGTAACAATACATTAATTTCCCCAGGTTTTCGCTGTCAGGCTTATATACTAAAAAAGAGGGCGTCTCGAACAAACTCGGGTTTACCCGATAATTCATGTTCATTCGAGAAATTCATCACGTGTTACCAGCGTCACGTGACTTCTGCTGTCGTAACACCATCTTCATTAAAAGGCGTAAGATGACAAAAACAATATCTTAAAGATTTTCTCAATAATGTGCCTTGGTT